TAAAGTCAAATTTAGTTTAAAAACTTTATATAATAACATTTGAATTTCTGACTGGACACAATATATCAATAGTTCTTATGAAATCTCAAGCGTGTATAAAACATTCCGTCGTCAATATCTGAATAAAACTGCCAAAATCCTGTCTTAAGGTCGAAGTCAGTGAAGGAAATGACAAAAAGATAATACTAAAATTTCTTACTGAGTTATTGTGTATAACTATAGGCCAGACTGTTTATGGGTGTAATTGAAAGATCACACTATAGTCGATATTGTTTGTTGCCGGTCAGAACGTATAACATTATTACATGGATGATAATGTAACATCTTGAATGGTCCAGCTCCAGTGTCGCCATTGACTGTGCTAGATGATGTGGTCTTTTATATGAACTGTACCACAATGAACTATAGTGTTAAAATAAAACTAAATTATATTGTATGTAATATGCAGAGCTCGATTTTGAGCGAAATGAAATGGAATGAAATGAATAGAGTTTTACGTCCTAATCTTCTACATTAATGAGTTAGATATCGCTTGTGTTTCAATGCCATTCCAATAAAATCTGTCAAATGTGTCACTAAATGAGTTTTATGTCATTTAACAAAGGGAATTCTGTTTTGGGTCACAAAGTGTGGAATGTAGATGATTTGGGATCTACGTAGGATATTTACTCAATTGTTTGATTGACTTTCGATTTTGAATATTGTTGATTTGAACTACGTTTTCTAGAAAAAATCAAGGCGGATTATACATGTATGTCCTAGTTCCAAAGCGTTGAAGATTCTGTGTTATTAGCGATATATAACCCCTTCCTATAAGTTATCTTGTCTGGTGTTTATTTAGTACACAACGATCTGTTGATGTTAAATAGCCTCGTTATGAAAATAATTTACTAATCCGTCTGCTTCATACACGGTTTGTTTATTGTTGGAGATTGAGTTTTGGCGGGAAACTAGAGTATAATTTGTTGGAGATAGGAAAGCGATATTTGTCTAAGGTAATTTAGACTTTTTATGATGCTAGAAAGTTGAAATGGACAAACATCTAACGGGAGTTCAACATGGATTGCACCTAACTAGACAATTTAAAAGCATATTTAATATTTTTGATATTTAATCGAAAATTGGATCGATTTTAATTATAAAATTCAGAAAGAGATTTTAAATTATAGTTTTTTTTCAATTTCAAAGCAGATTAATGATATTCTTAAATATCAAATGAGAATTCCAAATCATTTTAAACATTTTAAAAGCGTAGGAGGCCATTTTCATTTTGGAGTAATTGCAGAGAAACATTTAAAAACGTTCAGAAAACACTGGTCGTAGCATTCATGACATACACACATTTAGAATGTTCTGTATCATAATTTGTATTTTAGTATGAGCTTATGATTAACTTCAAAAATAATACCTTTCACAGTCCTAAGATGGGATGAGGGAGAACCCAATGACCCACCCATAAAAATGTCACTGTAACCATCTGTAATGTTAGATGGTTCGAAGAGAATTTATACAGTGTACGATAACGATTTCTTTTAAATCACAGTTCAGTCTGACACTTCATTGAGCAACTAATTTCCAGAAGCAACCAATTGTAAGCATCCCCCTGACAGCTTGTCTTATATAAATGTGGCTGTATATAATGTAAAAGATTTGAAAATACATCAATACGATTAACCAACATAAAATGAAAATGACCATTTGATATAGAAACGTTTCAAGTCTGTAAGAAATGTAGAAAATCGATACTTGTGAAATATGATGAATTTTAATAAAATTATATTGTATCAGATATCTAAAGAGAAATGTTTTCAGAAAATCCCAGGTCGGTGAAATCGGAACCTTAGATCGTGGTGAAAACAATAAAAATACAAATCTTCTCGTCGTGAACTTCGTCATGGAATAATCGTCTAACGCCTACCTACGGTTAGACTGAAATTTGTAACCAGATATCAAATATATAGAGGTACCAGACCATGTTCATGTTTGAATCAAAAAATATTCGGACAGAGCGTTAATAACACTGAGACAGTTCACTACAATAATGTATCCATCAACTCAGTAGAACGTAAAATTTCATTTCATGTTTCATATTTATTTGTCTATTAGTGTCTTAAACAGAAGAAAAACGATTAACATTCATTAAGATTTATAAACTATCATAAGAGGGACAAAAATTTTGGGGAGAAGGGTTGATTTGAGTCTTTAAAATATGTAAAAAGTCTACTTATGAACGAAAATCGCATAATTCCCTCAAAAATATCTCAAACTAGGAATTTTACTCACTATATCTATATATGCTTTTCACAGAGACGACTCGTCAATTTAACTTTTAAACGTGGATAATTCTGGACACACATGGATTTGAAGGCTGAAATTTCGACGGTGAGCTGTGAACAATATTACAGATGGCTTAGCTAAGAAATTCCCGTTTCTGAAACAAAAGAATGCTTGGTCAAAAAGAATGGTTTTAAAGTATATAAATGTCGTGGTGGTGAAAAGGTAGTGGGACGGGAGATACAGTATATCAATGTATTTATGTTAAAGGGAGGAGAGGAGAGGTACGAGTGAGATTGACAAACATACAAGAACAATTAACACATCCAGCTCGTTGTTTCTGAATTCCCATTCAGACCAATGTGAACTGATTAAAGCTCCCTCAACAGACTACTTATCTCTCTAAACGAGTTGTATAATACTAGTATTAAAGTTTGTACCATTGTACAGCGATTTGGTGTAACGAGACAAAGTTTGTCTGAGTCAAACTGACCTGTAATTATATTGAAACCTTGGGTTTGATTG